TATTCACAGTCTGTGTTTAAGACCTGCTACAGTCGATGGAAACAGTCAGTCTTCGAATGTTTCAGCAAGTCGTAAGTGTGTCCCCATCATTAGTCTGCTATCAGTGGCTCAAACCTCCGTTACTAACTCTAAAATGACGTTTTGGAATTAGCAACGCAGGCATGGGATTAGATGCGTAAGAAATTAGTCCTACATACAAGAGCGTTTTAATGACAAAAACTTGACAAACGTCTTGAAATGCATCATCTGAACAATGTTTTGAGGTGTGGTAACTGTAGTATAAGCGGAATAATTGACTTCAGGCCGTTGAATTATTAGAAAAATAATGCACACCGAGGTGTAACGGCCACTCCGCTTCGCGTCGTGACCGCATTACCACCTCGGGTGTGCATTATTTTTCTAATAATTCAATGGCCTGTCGTCAATTATTCCTTACTTAAGCTCTACGCAATATTACAGTTACTGGAAGAAATCAAAGATGACATCGAATCTCCGACTCAGCGTTCTTATTCTATTCCAGCAGTCGTTAAACTCCTCGCTACATTACAATTATTGGCATCAGGATCATTTCAAACAGTCATAGCATCAGCAGTGAGAGGAGGAGGCCCATTCAATTGCGCGTTTAAATGCGTGCAATTTACAGTATAGTGGGTGGAGACTCGGATTACCTGATGAACTGCAGGTTTGGTACATAACACGTTTCACATCAAGCGATTTCTGCGTCTTGGCCATGGCGCTATTAACGCTGCGTTCGCAAATGTACGTACATCTGGCCCTCAGTGTTTTCTCTCTCCTTCCATCTCCCTGTGTGTGGCAATGTTTCAACACTTAGAAGCTGAACCCCTATGATCCCGCGGACAGATAAGCCACCTCAGTCATGTCCTCACCGTCATAATTACAGCTGTATTATCCATTGTCTCTTGTTTTTCCTCTGTCTTTCCTCTTTGTCTCTCTGTCTCCAGGTTTGCTGGTGAATAATGGAGGCACTGTGATAATTATCCACACAGTTACATATATACTTTGGTATTATATGGAGAATGTAAGGGTGTGGTAGAGAAAGGGATGACAGTAAAAAGAGGAACATGTTTACCTTTAAAGGTGCATCATCACCTTTTTTCACAAAGACCTCCATTCATCTCAGCAGCATTTGACCTCATGGAATTACATGATTTAAAAATTTGCGCTCAAGTTTCGCATACAGGTTTATTTTTTATTTTTATGTATGAACATTTATAACACCATACTTTGTATTATATTACCTTTGCATTAAATTAACACTGCTGTAAGGGTGTTTATAATATAGTGGCTATGGGAGTGACGGTAAAGTTGACATCTTTCTCTCTTCTTACTGCCGTTATCAATTTCTCTCTATTTTTTCCCTGTTTTTGAAAGTTTTGAAAAACTATTGTGGGATTTTTCTTTTGCTATTTGAGCAAATGGGAACACAAAAAATATATTTAATGTATTCTCTCAATACTCTCAAGTTTACCCAACTATGACGAGAAACACGGAAATGTGAAAAGGGTCGATCCAAAAATGGTCACTGGCAAAGCATCTATTTTAATATAATGATATATTTACAATTTACTTTACATTTTGTTTGCAAAATGATGTAGCTTTTAAATTCGTCAATGGAGAAAGATGCTTTTGTGGAGATCTTTTGCGAAAACACTTTCCTGCAGAGTTTAGAATGAAAAAGGAAAATTATGTCATCATTTACTCAGCATTAAGTTGTTCCAAACTTCTATGAATTTCTTTCTTCTGCTGAACACAAAAGATGATATTTTGAAGAATGTCAGTAACCAAACAGTTGATGGCCCCCATTGACTTACATAGTCTTTTTTTCCTCCATACTATGAAAGTCAATGGGTAAACTATATTTTAGATTAGGGCTGCAAGATAGGAAGTGCGATAACAATAGGGAACGTAGTTGGTCCGAGATCTGTACGGACCAGGCCCCACTGTTCGTAATGCATGTGATTCGCAATTAATTGCAGTGTTTAACCATGATAAAGTGAAAGTTTATCATTTGCACCTGTTTTAAGTCCTGTTTAAACATTCAAGCGAGTTTAAAGCATTCAAGCGCAAGCAGATGCAGAACCATGCAGGTGGCACACAAACAAAGAATTCAGTTCTCTTTCTCGTCTTATTGTGCTCAAACACAGTCGCAAAAGTCTTAAGTAAACGTAAACAATTGAAAGAAAACGGATGCGTGTCATTATATTGTATCCGTGCATAGGGGTGGGCGATATCTCGATATTTGAAATATATCGAGATATTTTTTAAACACGATATGGATTTTGACATATCGTATATATCGATATATTGTTTATATTTAATTCTGATTTCGCCACTTTGTCTTCTCTGCGCTGTGCTCGCCCCCGCCTCCTTGCTTTTGTTCCCCCTCCCCCCGCGTGTTGTCTCATTCAACATGGCGGCGGCCGCAACTAGCCCAGAGGCTACAGAACTCGTCTAAAAAAATCATCTTAAATGCTGTCTTACATGCACTTCTTGACGCACACTAGCAAACACACGCAAGGTCTCTCGCTCTCTGTCCCTCTCTGCCGCATGCGCGCTACACGGTGCTCTCTCCCTCTCTGCCGTGCGCATGCTACACGGTTTGAACATACATATTCACACAGCCTTTCGAAAACCTTTCGAGTGGATAAATTTCCCGGGACAGGTTATTAAAAAGAATGACAATCCCGGTAAAACGGGACAGGTGGCAACCCTGGCCATTGCCGTCGTTGAATTATTATTTTTGTATACAGGGTTTTTTTTTTTTAATGTCGCAGAAGCACTTTGGACTACATGAACTGCCTACCTCTTTGCACTCCAATAAAAAAAAAGACTGTGGTGTTTGGCACATTTGTTTTTGCAGTAGTTTTTGTTGGGTTATTTTTCCTGTAAAGATATCGAGATATATATCATATATCGAGATATAGCAAAATATATCGAGATATATGTTTTGCTCCATATCGCCCAGCCCTATCCGTGCATTTGGTCTTAGTGAAAGCAGCCTAATAATCATGCGGCTGTCTGTATTATTAATGTTAATCAAACAACAATAGACAAAGAAAATCATCTGATGAAATTGTTTTCATATTACAATATAGCCTACATTGCAGAAAATCGCAATGCCAATATCGTACAGCCCTGTTTTAGATGCAATTTATTTCAGACATGCATCTAAGGGCCACCAAGGGGCAGTTAACTCGTCCTGGTGCTGTAAACGATTGGGGCAAATGGAAGGCTTTCTGTTCTTTCTGAAACGCTGTGGCCTATTTCTGCTCCTGACAGAGAAAGAGAGAGAGATAAGAGAGTTAGAATAGTGTGTGAGAGTTTTCTGACTCCAGTTTCAGTGGGTGATAAATCTGGTGTTAATCTCTCTGGCCTGATTTGGTGAAGTTATGTGTACCCTCTGCCCACCTTACCACTCACAAGCACTCTCACACACATGCAGCATTGACAAACCCATATATACCGTGTATTGTACAGCGTAACCTGTGTACATGCCTTCACACACCATATGAAATTCAGACTCAAGATGTCCATTTGATTATCTCTGAGTCTGAATAGAATGTGTCTGAGTGCGTGTTGTCCAGCCCAAAACATAACTGTACAATCAGAACATCACATCACATTCATTCCAGCCATCACATTCTGACACGTCTTAGGTATTTGTGCTGCCCAATCAGACAGAAAGTCTGTAGAGGCTTTTGCCAACAGAGAACAAGTTAGCACTTCAGGAGAGAGCAGTGCTTATCACACACACTACTTTCAGCACCGCAGATATCGGCTGCTGTATATATTGTACTCCCGCACTAAGCCCTGTAGAACGTTTATGGTTGCCAGCCAAGTGACATAGCAGTTGACCCTTTGCTAAGCACACCCCACTTAGTTACTGTTGCTAATCTAGACAAACTTTACAGAATATCCCATCGGCATAAACTGGAGATTTCTGTAAACAACACGATTTTTTTGTAAAATGTGCTCAGAAAGTGTGAGGAAATAATTTTGCTACAATTCGTATTAGTAGTAAAATTAAATTATGCAATAACATGACACTGATGTAAAGTATGTGTGTGAAGTCTCTTACGCTGCATTTATTTGAATGCAATAAAACAGTAATATTGTTAAATATTATTACAATAAAAAAAAATTCTATTTGCCATTACTCCCAGTTTTCAGTGTCACATGATCCTTAAAATCTATATGCTGATATGGTGCTTAAGAACTCAAGATACAAGTTACTAACTATGAGTGACAAAGCAGTGACGCTGTTCTGAGTTGTGGGAACGTTTTCTTCAAACAGTTTCATTTTATTAAAACTATTATCGGTAACACTTTACAATAAGGTTCATTAGTTAACTACATTAGTTAAAATTTACTAAGAATGAACAATACTACTTCAGCATTTGTTAATCTTTGTTAATGTTAATTTTAACATTTACTAATACTTTATTAGAATCTTGTTAACATTAGTTAATGCACTGTGAACTAACATGAACAAACAATGAACAGCTGGATTTGTATTAACTAACGTTAACAAAAACAGTAACAAATGTATTGCTCATGGTTAGTTCATGTTAGTTAATACATTAACTAATGTTTAATAAATGAACCTTATTGTAAAGTGTTACCCTATTATCAATTAAACTAACTCCCATTCACAATCACATTAGCTTAGTAACAAACTTTTGCTTTTTTTTTTTTTCAAAGGATTGGTCAGTTTCATTTTAAGGTGGGGCTTAGGGAAGGGTCAGTTAAAAAAATGCAGAATGTATAGTTGCAAGTGTGAGTTTATCAGCATTTTACAATGGCTCATCCAGCCTAGTTTAGAGTTGTAGCTCTTCCTTTTTTAATCGCTCTTTCTGTGTTCCTTCCCACTCACACCCTTGCATTCACTCCCTTTGACACCCCTTCTCCAGCTTTCCATCAGAATGACCTTTTTTTTTTTAACAGTCTAGCTGAAATGAAATATCTTTCTCTCTCCATAGACGTTTGGCTGGTAATGACCTTGCTTTCATCCACCCAGAGGCTCTGTCTGGCCTCCATCAGCTTAAAGTCCTGTAAGTATTCCACACACTCTCACGCGCGCACACACACACACACACACACACACACACACACACACACACACACACACACACACACACACACACACACACACACACACACACACACACACACACACACACACACACACCTCTATTTGATGGCTTACTCGTTCACCCAGAGAGACGATCTTGAATAGCGCAGTGAGAGAGCAGTAGATCCTGCTGTGTGTCTTGTTGAGTTGTTAAGTGGTGTTGTGTAACTAACAGGAATTTCACTGCTACTGGATCAGCAAGTCTGTCAGTGTCTGATGGAGTACCTTCATTGTGATGCACCCCCCTCTCTCTCTCTCTCTCTCTTTCTCTCTCTTTTCTCTAACTCATATTTTGTCCTTCAGGTGTTTGTGAGCCAATTCAAATGCAGCTTATCAGCTGCTTGGTCCCCTTAGCCATGCTTTACATAAAGCTCATTTTTCCTCTTCCTGTCCTCGTCCAGGGCTGTTCTAGACACTGTTGTGGGAAGTTGGGGATGAGTTAGGAAAACCTATTGTGGACCTAAAGCCAAGGACTTTGGAACTGTAGATGTTGGAGATGATTTGAGACCAGTTTTTATTTACTGTGGTCATGCATTTATGAATGCCTCTTGGCTGGGCTACGTGTATGTGACTACAGTATATGTGTGTAGTTGTGTGTGTGCTGTGGCTTGGCAAATGGGAAAAGCTGTCCTCGCGGCCTATGCCATTTGAGTGACGCCAGAGAGCAGATAGTGTAGAGGAAGCAAGATATGCACTGTGATTAGTTCAGAACAACACACACACACACACAAATACATACTACATCAGCACTAGAGCTCAGATTGTGGTTATCTGGGCTCATGATTTGTGAAGAAATGTTGTAGAGAAGTGTATATGTATTGTGTTGTGATGTGATATCAGACAGATGTGTCATAAAGGGTGAACACAGTAAATAATAATGGTGTTTTAAACCTATTTTTCAGGATGCTTCAGAACAATCAGTTGAAGACTGTCCCCAGTGCAGCTCTCAAGAATCTTCATGCCCTGCAGTCTTTGTAAGCATCTTCCTCCTCTCTCTCTCTCTCTCTCTCTCTCTCTCTCTCTCTCTCTCTCTCTCTCTCTCTCTCTCTCTCATATACATATATATTTATTTATTTTTTAAAGAAATGTTTACTTTTAGGAATGCATTGATCAAAAGTGACAATAAAAACATGTTACTTGTTACACTGTTAAAAAAAAAATCTATTTAAAATAAAGCTAAAGGCTACACTTTAGTTGTGGTTATAAGTTGTTATACTGCATAATATTTGTATAAATGTAATAAATATATTCTTCATATTTTTTGTTTTTATGTTTGAGCTTATATATCTCAATATTAATAACAGTCTGATTAATTCTGAGTCTTGAACTGTAAACTTTTAAGGGTTGGCTTTCTAAATATATGTTGGTTATGTGCCTATTCAGAATGACTTATGAGCAGCAACCTTTTTATTTTGGGTATGTCATGTATGCCCCACATGGGAAATTTGGGTCTGTCTGGTAAGGGGTTAAATAATCATGCCAAAATGTAGCACATCTGATAACATTGATAATAATAAGACATGTTTCTTGAGCACCAAATCAGCATATTAGTATGATTGGAGTACTGGCAGTTGAAAATTCTGGAGGACATTACATTTTAAAATATATATGAAAAGAAAACAGTTAAATTGTTACTTTTTTTTATTGTTAAACAATATTTCTGTTTTACTGTGTTTTTGATCAAATAAAGGCAGCCTTGGTGAGCATAAGAGACTTCTTTCAAAAACAAAAACATTAATAAATCTTACCGACCCCAAACTTTTGAACAGTAGTTTACTTGTGACGCCGAAAGGCTTGTTACAAAGGTAGTATAAAATTCCAAAATCGAATTACTCAGAACAACATCTGTAAATACAGATAGTTTGGTGGGGTTTTTTTTATTCTGATTCCTTGTTGTTTTAAAACACTAACAATTAACAAACTTTTAAGGAAATTGTATTCTTTATAACCTTTTTTCTACATTTATTTAGCTAACCCAAGGTTCTTTAAATACAATTTCTTAATATGAAATTAAAGACCAGCTGATTTCTGGATAATTTGGAAATATTCTTAATACAATTTATTATTAATACATTTATCCCGGCGTTCAAACAGGTTCCAATTCTAAGGAGGAAACACTAAAACAAAAAGCAACCCATTTAATATTAAGTTTGATGTTATTGCACTGCTGTAGAATAGCAGGTTAGATAATCAAGATGATCACTTTTATTTGCAGATACAGCTGTTTTACACTTGTTTAAAAATAGTTTGTCCATTTCATTTTGTCAATTGCCTGTATAATACTTCAATAAAAATGATTTAATACATTTAATTCTAATGGAAGTAAAAAGTAGGGGTTCATCAAGAAATGTTTGCATGGCAATGTCTCAGATGCATTAGAGTTCATGTAACTGTGCGTTATTGTGTTTGTGTGTTTGTTTGTGTGTCTGTCTTCTAAAGTTGTCTCAATAAGATTTAGTCCAGCTGCTGTTTCTGCTGTGGGACAATGTGTTTTAAAAATCAGGTTTTCAACCATTATCACCTCTCCAGATTTCTCAGTCTCTTTCTGTCTTACCCCCTTGTGTCGTGTGTTTTTCCTCTCTTTTTTTTTCTCTGTAGTGCTGAATTAATGTGTTTTGGCACCGTCCACCTGCTTTTGGATAAGGCCTCAGAGAATGACCTGTCAATCAATGTGCCTTCTGGCCCTCAGCATGGTTGATGAGGGAAAGAGTAGGATATATGTCAGAGCAGAGGCCAAAAGCGAGAGACACATGAGAGAGAGGGAAGGGGGCAGTCCTTTGGGAATGTGTTCACCCTGCAGGCTTTCTGCACAGGTTCTTCAACTGTGCTAATCAGGCTACCAACAAAAAAAAACGCTTCTCACAGCAATGTCACTGTAATTAGGAAGTAAGGCAGAGACAAAGCCTGTAGAAAACGCCAGAAAAAAAAGAAAAAGAAAAAAAAACGTTACTTCAAAATTATTTTTTAATGACAATTGTTTGATAGCCTCTTGGTGAATTATTTTTGTTGGGTTGCTATTGATGTACTGAAATTAAAATTCATGGCCTAAACTACATTTTCTGGCTGAAAGTTAATCCTAATTTTAAAATAGCCTTTCTTTAAAATATCTGTGATCTTTATTAATTTTATACAAAAAAGTGATTATACACAAAATTAATAATAAGGCTCCAAAATTTTTATAAAAATTATTGTAAAAACAGTAATATTGCAAAATATTAAAACAACTGTTTTCTATTTTATTATATTTAAAAATATAATTTATTCCTGTGACGCAAAGCTGAATTTTCAGCATCATTATTCCAGTCTCCAATGTCACATGATTCTTCAGAAATCACTCTAGTTTTCGAATTTGGTGCTCAATTAAATATTTCTTATTATTATCAATTTTGAAAAGTGTTTTGCTGCCATGATATTTTTTTTCAGAATCCTTTAATCTAAAGAAAGTTCAACTCAACCTTTACTCAACCTCAATATATAACCTATTAACACCCGGTGTTTACATTAAATCTGGATCATTTCAAGTGTACACTGATTTTTCCTCCATGGTAATGATTCTGTTATTGAATGGTAAAGTAATGTTAAAGTTTCCATTTCCTTCTTTCTTTAAAATAGAATTTTAAAACATTTCAGGTGGCTAATTTTTTTTGCATCCCTAGTTAGAACAGTTGATGCAATGGATATACTCTAGAAATACAACTGCCTCTCCTCACTCAGACTGTTTCCAAAACCACAATTATAATCTTATGTCCATCTATAATTTAAAGTGGCCGTCTATGCCACATTTAGCAGCGATCCGGTAAAGATCGCTGCCTTCTAACCTCAAAAGTCAATTCTGTGGTTTGCCAGTTAACAGACCAGAGAGCAATTCATTATCAGAAACAATTATCCTTCAGTCTCCTTGAGCATTAAAGCTGTGATCTGTGGTGTGTTTTAGAAATAGCTTATAAAGTAATAAATCTTAACAAACGCTGAGCTGCTAATGTGTTACATTACAATGGCTCTTGTGGCCAAATGTTCCTTGTAGATATACATCTTAAATTAATATTCTCTCTGTCTCTTTGTCATCTATGCCACCCAACCCTTTTGACTCTCTGTGAATCTCATACTTTGTGTTTGTCTGTGTGTGCGCTCAGGTTTGGCTGATGTGGACATGCTCAGATCTGCATGTTCAAAATAAGAAGCATGTACAGACTTTAGCTGCAGCTGACAGATCCGTATCTCCATAGATGAGAGCCACCTCTCGACTCCTGAGTATTGATTTGGTTCAATTCGCAAATTAACCATCCGTTTTTTAGAATGAATCTAAGGGTGTATTCACACCTGCCTTGTTTGGTCCGATTGAATCGAACTCTAGCTGGATAAGGTGGTGGTGATGGCGCAGTGGATAAGACACATGCCTTCGGTGTGAGAGACCCGGGTTCGAATCCACTGTGAGACACCAATGTGTCCCTAAGCAAGACACTTAACCCCTAGTTGCTCCAGAGGCGTGCGACCTCTGACATGTATAGCAATTGTTAGTCGCTTTGGATAAAAGCGTCAGCTAAATGAATAAATGTAAATGTAGCTTGTTTCCCCCCTTGGTGCGGACCTTTTGGGCAGGTGTGAATACAGCAATCGAACTCGGGTGCGGACCAAACAACCGAACCGAGACCCAGCTGAAGAGGTGGTCTCGGTACGGTTCCAAACGAACTCTGGTACGGTTCGTTTACGGTGTGAACATGAACCGACCCAATTGCAAGAAAGCACTGCGCCTTTGAGTTAACAGGCTTCCGTAGTCGGAGTTGCGTAATGGGAAAGTGATCTGTTGTAGCCTACTACATTACATCTGTTGCGCGTCTTTCTGCACGTCATGTGTGCATCATTGGAATGGAATGAATGAATGAGTGTGTGCATCAGGACATTCACATACTGATTGTATAGAGCGTTCTCTTTAGTCTAATCGCGCATAGATGCAAAAAAAGCATTTGCAGTTCATATAATGTAACGATAGTTACAATACAAGGATAATGCTGCGTTAATTTACGTTAAGCCTTTTTTGCACTTCCTGATTTCCCTACTTGAGAATCCTTGTCCAATGAATGGACGACCTTAGCACACGTTTGGTTTTGTTTACAAATTTTGGTTCACTTGCAAAAAGAGCATTGTGAAAGCGAACCGTACCAAAAAATATATATATATTTTATTTGGTCCGGACCAAAGCAAGTGAACTATCGGACTTTCCTGGTGTGAATACACCATAAGGGACTGTATAATGCCAAATTGTGTCATTTATGAACTGATTTCAGTTAACTTATCACTCACTGGTCCCCACATTATGCCCATTGTGTGAGCTTCATGTCTGTGTAGAGCGGAGAATTGAACATTCTTAAACGTGCCAAAGCCGAAATTGAGCCAGAGTTTATATCCAAAGCACACGTCAGTTTAGATGATCTCTCACTGTAGTTCACAAATGCATCGCAGTGCTGAAAATTTGTCCTAATGCATTGCACTCAGATAAAAAGGGGAAAAGTACATGCATGAAAACTTGCTATTGGTTCATTAGTAGAACATGTGCCATCTTTAGTCCTCCTATTCGAACACAAAAAGTTGATTTAACAAGCTTAACTAAGCTTAAAGTACACTGTACACACACTATTCCAGGAAGAAATATTGTGAACAATTATGAGCTGTTTATATTTTCATTTGGTAGATCCACAAATATATTTCCATTACACAGAGGCATTTATTAGCTCCACAACAATTGTTTAACTGTGTGTTTCCGTTCCCAAATAATAAGCCGACTATGCAGAATTTTAAGGCATCATGCATGTTCCTGATGGGACCTGAAAGTTTAGCATAGAATGCAATTGAGTCAAGCTCAGTGAAAAATAAGTCTATCCAAGATGGCGGACACAGCACTATAAATTTAATAGTGATTTAATACTGAAAAGTGCCAATAGGATTAGCTCAGTCTAATCTAAAATGGACCTTTTTTACTCAATAAAAAAGGGTGTTTATGTATTTTTATTTTCAAATGGATAGTTTACCCAAAAATGAAAATAATTTACTCACTGTCATGTCATTTTAAACCCATAAGACTTTGGTTAATCTTTGAAACACAAATCAAGATATTTTCCATGAAACCTGAGAGGTTTCGGTCCATTGATCTGCAGAAAGTCAGACTTTTTGACACTTGGGTATATTTCCCCTTGTAATTTCTCTATTTTCTCACCTTCTACTGTTATATTTAGTGTTTAAACTTAACAGCCTGATAAAAATGTATGTGCTTTATTTTTTGCATGATAATAAATTTGAAGTAATTTATTCCAAAATCATTGGGCACATAAGCAAGCAATCCGACTTGTGACGTCATTATGTTTGATGGACATGGATACGGTCCCGCCTTTGAAAAGCAGTAGGGGTGGTTTAGTAATCGCTGTGGTGAGGTCAGTTTAGTCATTTATGAGGTTCTATTTGAGTTAGAATATCTAGGTAGGCAGTTCAGCAAGGTCTGGTAACTGAGCATTTGTGAGTGAGTGAGTGTGGGTTTCCACATTTTTGTGCTTTGTCCTGTTTCAGTGGCAAGGTAATAAGGCTTTTTTCTTGTTCTAACTAAGATCTCCACCTACGCATACCCTAGTCTTTTGTGTTTTAATTGTATAATCACAGGGCAGGGAGAGTATAGCTTAGTCAGTGTCAGCCATTTATAAACAGGAAGTCACCACCCCACCGTTATTACCCATCAACTCATTCCTCCTAGTGATTGGCTCCGATTCCAATTCTCAGTGCCCTAACTTAGAAAATAGAAATAGAAAATTCTCCACATGACTTGTGCGCTATATTCATAGTCTTCTGAAGTCATATGCAACACACACTTGTTGATAACTGTATACATACCGAGTCATATCTTTTAAGCATCTACACAGTATTTGACACAGCACTGTTTATTTCAGTCACAAGCCCTCCGGGCTGAAAGGTGCGGTTCCTTTTTCTCATAAAGCCATTGAAGCGGCCCCTGAGTGAGGCCAGGGCCTCCCACCTGGGCTGTGTGAAAAGGGAGGCCAGTGTAGTGAGATCATGGAAACGTCTTGTGTTTCTTTAACAGCACAGTGTGCAGAGACTGAGTGTTAACTGATGTTTTAGCACCTATGTGACGGCACACTGTTATTCCCAATATGTGCGCCCTCCTGGTGCTGTATTTTAGAAGCGGCTGTTTCGATAAGTAAAAGCGTTTTCAGCTCATTTATGCTGTATCCACATCAGCGTTCCTGAAATCTCTTCCTGTTTCTGTGCAGGCGGTTGGATGCTAACCACATCACTTCAGTGCCTGAGGATAGTTTTGAGGGTCTGCAGCAGCTCAGGCACCTCTGGTTGGATGACAACAGCTTGACTGAGGTTCCCATTGGCCCCCTACAGCACCAGAGTAACCTGCAGGCCCTGACGTTGGCCCTTAACCGGATCACACACATCCCAGACAACGCCTTTGCCAACCTCTCCAGCCTGGTTGTATTGTGAGTTCTGTGCAATTTCGGCCACATACACTAGAGGAATTCATCCTGCTTTTAACACTGATAAATTTACCTTCCCCTGTTGCCTTTTACCACACATCAGTTAAATCCATCAATGCGCTACACTAACTGTAGTCCTAGACGGCTCGTAAAACACTCATACAAATACACTTGCACATGTTTAAGTACACACGCAGGTAAACAGCAGCATGGATGGGCGAATTTAGAGAGGGAAAGCAAAATGGACCCTTGTGCCTTGCAAAGTCAAACAGAGGCTATAGACTCTCTCTCTCTCTCTCTCTCTCTCTCTCTCTCTCTCTCTCTCTCTCTCTCTCTCTCTCTCTCTCTCTCTCTCTCTCTCTCTCTCTCTCTCTCTCTCTCTCTCTGCTGCCTTACTTCTGGAAGCTTCTCTGTGGGTCTGATTTTCCAATTACATTCCAGCTGCTGGAAAATATTTGTCTTAGGAGTGGAGGCCAATTAATCCGTTAAGTAGACTGAACAAACACACAGACCTGTGTGGTGAAGTGCTCAGAAGAACTACTGAGGGGTTATCCGTTCAGAGAAAATGTTTGTGTTAATGTTCTGCTGAGAAGTGCATCTTTTTAATGACTGGAAAATCCGAGCAAAATAGACATCCTTAGTCATCCCTAGTCATCTGATTGGTTATAAATGGATCCATTAATACCTCTCAGGTTATATTTACTATAATCTATTGGCCCTCTTTTTAGTGCATATAGTCATTTTATCACACATAACTCATTGTGAACTAACCAAACACAATGTGGAAGTAAATTGTAAAATTATAAATGCATAATATTCCTTTTTTTAATGAAGGATCAAAAAAGTGCACAAGAAAATGTACATCTTAAAATTAGTGATGAGTTTTACATTGGGTGCCTTCTTGATAATCAATAATATTAGTGTTTGGATTTAAAAAAAAGTGTTATATTGGTGGACATTTAGATATTTAATAGTACATGTTAATTTCCCTTATTTTCATATTAAGGTCACCTGCCGTCATATATTGCTCACAAAGTTAATCTTTAAAAACATTAACGCTGTTAAATGTAATAATTAGCAACATTCAAAGTGAACAAAAAGTGACCGTTTGCCTAAATTCACTTTTAACATTTACAATAATTGGTTTTATTTTTTTCAGTATTTTATTTTTAATTAATTTACACAAAATATAACACTTTTATTTCTGACATATATCATCATACCATCAAAATAATTAATCAGCCTATTGGCATCATCTAAAAACCCAATTTAAAATGATTGTGTGTAAATTAATATATAAGTGTTGCTTCTAAAATCGTGTTTGTCCGTGTCGTTCAGGCATCTACACAATAATCGGATTCAGGAGATTGGAAAAAACTGCTTTAATGGGCTGGACAACCTGGAGACATTGTGAGTTCCCCTTCACTTACACATGTAATCACACTTCCTTTCATTAAAGAGATTGTAATCTGCTAGAGTGGGTCTGTCATCAATAGCATCATACTACATATTTTTACAAGAGATTGTATGTGGGTACAAGTGTAGTTACTCAGTGCGGTGTTTAGTATATGCTGCCCTCTTCTGCAAGACTCATGGTTGCAGAGAACGTTGGGAGCTCTCTGGAAGAATGCCTCAGCTGACATTTATTTGAATACCTGTATGCAGTGTAGTAGAGAACACACTAGACATGAAGTACTTCACTGGTATGTGAGCAGAGGCAAAGGTTGAGTAATCCATTTAACCGAGATCCCTAACCTTAAGCCTGAAACGTTGCTAATTTTGAATGAAATGTTTTTAATTTTGAATGAAAAGCATGTAATATATGACAAGTGTCAAAAAAACATTTGGATTTCCTGAGGTTTATGCCTGAAAGTTTTAGAGAGATGCAGTAAGTGTGCCGTCTTCTTCGCTTGAATTGAGTTGATCAGGATTTACAGTAAACTGATAAAGGACAAAGGAGTCTTTTAGGACCTTTGGGTTTAACTTATTGCCTCCGTTCTCTCTCTCCACTTATCACAGTTCGTTTAGCAAGCATCCACTGCGTCAGGGAGGAAGAGGCGAGGGGAAGGGGAAGGCAGATAGCCATCGCTGACTCTGCTTTATTTACTTATTCTGGCCATAATTAGGACAGGATGAGGACACGCCAACGTCCTGTGCCCCTGGGGAGGAGAGTGGGACACCAGACAGGGGCATTAGGGGGTAGAGATGTAGTATCATGCCAGGTTGTATCGTGTGGCAGCTGAGATAAACAGTAACACACTGAAGAAATCAGCAGACCGGCTGTCCTGACTGGCCTCTGTAAACAGCAGAATTAATTTCTCTCAACAGATTGTTCCTTTTCTGTTGTTTGGCAAAAAATTATCTTCAGTTAGGGCTGTCTTTAAACGTAGAGCTGAAACAGAGATGGTCCATATTATACTGCTTTATTAAACGTACAGTATAAAGAGCAAAGAGTTTCCTCTATATTAGTGATGGTAGTGGTTTCGCTCAAGTGTTTCGTTCATACAAGTTCTTCTAATATGAAAAACTTTCATCTGCCCTGTCTCCTTTTAGGGATCTAAACTTCAACAATCTGAAGACCTTCCCAGAGGCCATTCAGACACTGCCCAAGCTGAAAGAACTGTGCGTATCTCCAAACACACACATTCAAACAATCATTTACAGTCATTCTAATAGTTCCTCTCAGCCACTTGTTTTGAAGTTAGTTTTTGATATAGATGGTTGGTGTACCAAATTAGAATGTTGTTAGAAAATTGAGATTTCTGAATATCTTTTTCAGAGAGGAAAAAATCGAATTGTTTTGAAGTTTCAGGTGCTTCTTTCAGTATTTTTTATTTATGTGTGTGTATATATATATATATATATATATATATATATATATATATATATATATATATATATATATAACAAAAACCATTGGGAGGCCTTTTTAAAATCAAGGAATATTAGAATAGTTTAATAATGTATTCAAAATCAAGGGTCCCAAACAGGTGTAGGTTTGTTAACCTCTTCACCATTGTGTTTAGAAATCCAGAGAGATTTTTTTTACTTGTGTCAAGCTGCCATCTAGTGTTAAGAATTAGAAATGCTTCATAATATTGAGCTGTGATCAGTGATGTAGCAGTTATGAATCCTGAGGGAGAATGTCTCAGAGTGCTCATCTCACTGAGCTTCTTAAAGATTTTTAGCTTAATGATTTAAATTTTGACCTGTTTGCCAGTGGATTTCATAGCAACAGCATCGCATCCATCCCTGAGGAAGCCTTCAGTAGGAATCCCCTGCTACGCACAATGTAAGCAAACGCTGATCCCACTGTCATGGAACACACACACACACTGTCTCATTGAAATATTGTTGTGATAAATTTTTGGCTATAAACATCCATTATGTCTTCAGCCATCTTTTTGACAACCCTCTCTCCTTCGTGGGAACTACTGCTTTCCAGAACCTGTCAGACCTGCACTCTCTGTAAGCAGAATCATTATTCAATCATTGTTCTGGAACTGAATTAATGACACTCACAATTAATTAATTAACTCACAACTATTTATTCAACTTTATAGGAATCATTCTCCCCAAAAATTAAAATGTGGTTGTTCCAAACCAGTATTGTACTTTCTATCTTCCATGACACACAAAAGTTGATGTTTAGGAGTTGCTGTTTTCCGTAATGCACTTTTCTATATAATGGCCTACATGATACTTTAATAATGCTTTTTTCTTCAATTTTGGATCCTGAATAGAATAAAGCTTTTCTAACTAACTGATGATCACAGAGTTTTAATTTCTTTAATTTGTTATATATTTCAGAATGCTGCGCGGTGCCAGTATGATGCAGGATTTCCCCAGCCTGACTGGAACAATAAATCTAGAAAGCCTGTGAGTTTATTTTACACTGGATAAACATACGCAAAGAACAGTGTCAGTTAAAATAAAATCAACTGCAAAACATTTATGTAAGGTTTCCTAATATGGAAATGTCATACAGCACAGCCTGAAATGACAATAAATTACAAAAATTATTAAATGACAAGCCTTTAAAGTTTAAACTACAGTATAAATGAATCAAAAACACAATTCACATTTAATGTATCTTGTGTTCTTCAGGACTTTAACAGGAACTAAAATCAAAAGCATCCCAGCAGACCTGTGTGAGGATCTGGCTGTGCTCCGAACACTGTAAGTCACACACGATGCATGAGCACGGTTCATAATTCAGTGCCACTCATACTGCTGACACAACAGCATAACACATCAGAGACACACCTAAGGATATTAGCACTAAATGACACTTTGTAACCATAAACTAATATGCTACTGCACACATAAGCATGTTTTTAAGCAGTGACATACCACTCATAACAGTTTGTAACACGTGTCAGTCAGATGTCCATGAGCGCCCGCCCAGTGATGTGCCAGTTACAGCCTTGAGTGCTCAGTAATTAATCATCAGTCACAGGCCCCTTTACACGCAAAGGTTAACCGTCACTCAAAACACTCACACACGGTCATGGAAAAGCCTTCAAGCCGGTGCTGTCATTTAAGATACTAACATATGCTCAGCATGTCAGTCATAACGTACACTCCCCTCAAATACACACAGACACACTCCATCGCACACAAGCGAAGTGTGCATCAGTCAAGCGTCATCCACCTCACAGGCACGTACGCAGTGGCCTGTCAGAGGCACAGCTGCAGGGGGATGTTTTAAAGTGATGTCTAATGACCTCCCGGAGGAGAGCGAGCCAGAGGCAGGCCTGCTCCCAGCCCGACTGCTGTAACACATCACACATCCTTTAGTTCCTGTCTAAACTTCATCAAAACATTTCCATTCCTCACAAGCTCAGTGTCTCAACATTTGTGTGTATGTTCTGACAGAGATCTTTCCTATAATGACATTGGAGACTTGCCGTCCTTTCAAGGCTGTGTTAGACTGCAGGACATGTAAGTTCTGTAATCGTGCTACGTTTTTTCTACTGTTTAGACAATGTTCAGTACTGACATTTGAATTGTTTATGAATAGGCTTTTTTTTTTTTATGTGTCCTGCAGAAGTCTACAGCACAACCAAATCCAGCAGATAGACAGAGGAACTTTCCAGGCGATGACTAGCCTTAGAGTGCTGTAAGTAATAACAATTACTGTGCCATAAATGTGTGTATATGCAAATGTTAATGTATAATCAGCAGGTCATTCTCACAAAACAATCCCAGAGAGGGTGATCACTCTAGTATTAGATTATCCTACATTATTACACATATTACACGGCTACCTACCACATAAATAAATAAATGGACATGAAATATTGATTTGAATTCGTTGGAAGATTTCATTATGTGAGAAGAAAGAGACTGTGGAGTGATACAACAGAGAGACCTGAAACTAGCACAGTTATATAGGAATTTTTTTGCAGTTTGTCAATTATGCAATTAAGCACTCATTACATAAAAATATTTGGCCACAAAAGTGTGTATGTCAGGTAAAAAATTTTTTTAGATATATTAAATAAGGTTTAGATGTCTGAGTGAAAATGTAATTATCATTAAAATTATTACTGTAATTGCCCTACAATAAGCTTTATAGCCATTTCTGTCAAGATCATATTTTTAAAACACAGCTGAGCTGTGACGTCAGAAGAGGGAGACGTGCCAAAAAAGTTCTATCCAAGTATGGAGAGTTTTGAGTCTAAGGAGATCCAAAATCCCCCTCAAACCTACGATGGCCCACAGCCATACAATTTTGAGCCTCCCAGGCGTGAGACCGATGAGGAGCCAAACAGAAATTTAAATAATTCCTATCGAAGAAACATAAATATCTGGTGTGAAGAGAACCAGTGGAGAGTTGGTCAGGTGTCCAACTCTTCGTATTGAACCGAAACGGTACGGGCGTCACGGTTCGGTGCATGAATATACACGGAGAATACACGGTATAAAAATAAATAAAACTTGCATGCAAATTAATTAATGCGGAACTACTGTTCGATACACGGGTTATTTAGGGACACCTAATCTGTAGCCCTGCCTTAGCTCTGAAGCTCCGTGGCTATAATGAACAGGCTGCGATATCAAGATTTCAATGCTGGAATATGTTGGTGTGTGTCATAGACTGTAAAAGGGTGTGTGAGAGAGAGAGAGAGAGAGAGAGAGAGAGAGAGTGAGGCGCGGGTGCGATCGAACAGTGGAAGTAATAAAAACTGGAAGAAATGGGCGCTGCAAATGACCGAAGTCTTGGATACCGAAGCAGCACTGAAGTCAGCGCGTTTGGTCCGAACAAAGTTGACCCAGGCACGGAACACAGACCTGCTTTTTGGGAAAAAGTGGACTCTGTGACCGGTTTTAACAGTGTTTTTGCACCCAGCACAAACGCAGTAATTCACCATCGTGAAAATACGCCTGCGTATACCTAACTAACTACCTAACCTAAATAACTAACTAAATAAATAAATGTCCTAATCACTAATTCTCTCGCTCTATCACTCGTACAATTATCAACACAGCTCACAAACTCACTTTCTCAGCGCCCTGGGAGACGTCTCCCTCTTATGACGTCAAGCGATCCGTTTGGGGGGAGGAGCAGTTTTAAGTGAGTACTGAAAATAACGAACTTTTTCATCTTATATTCTGCCTTTAGGTATCGAAAAACATACAAAACAATACATCAACTTGTCAAACGTGTATTTCCCCTAACTATTTTGTGTTAATCATAATTACAAATTTAACCTGACATACACACTTTAACCTGTCAGAATAAAGTATTCAATCGAGTCTTATTAATAATAATAACTGTAAATGGTCTAATAAACTATATTAATTGAAGAATTGTATGTGATGATGAGGATAATTATTATTAGGGATGCACCGTTACCACTTTTTCATAACTACTGATAGCGACGTGAAAGAATTTAATCCATTATTCAAGGCTTTCTGGGCATGCTTCAGATGTTTGCGCATAGTAAACTTCTCATCCTGTAATAATGTAAGGAACCACTCGTTATATATAAATCACGTAACAGTTCAAGTTTTTACTTACATATACGATTTCGTTTTAATCCAAATGACGTGTGCTGAGTGAACGATCAGTAATAAAGAGCATGCAACAGAAGTGCTCGTTCTCTCTTTACCGCCAGTTAACGTTTGTAATATGTGCCTTGTTTTTAGGGGTTCAAGCACGTAGTGCAATTGTAATTGTTACATTTTCCTAGGATCAGCATTCTCTCCTAAAAGTGATCGGGCAGGCCAAAACGTAAGTCGTAGAGACTTGAAAGTTGAAACACCGTCTACAACGTCACCAAAGCTTGCCCCGATCTGCCTGACGCAGTGAAAAGTACGACTCCTAAACCGTTAGGCGTAGTGTCTTATATCGTTGGAATCCTTGGTTCAAGGCGGACAAAATGCATGACTCAAATTCAATTGTCACCCTGGCGAAATTTTCAGGTTAGCTTAGCTTCCAAACAAGATGGCGGATATTGATTTCAGTATCTGCAAGTGAAGTTCCACCCACTGATCTGTAATAGGTCTGTAGCGTGAGTGGGTCCCACACCCTGGATAAATGATGAGCTAGTGTTTGTAGTCTCAACCCTTATACAAAGAAATGGGACTTCCTGCTTTTTATGACGCAAAATGACGATTTTTACGTCATAAAAAGCAGGAAGTGGAACACTTAAATCATTATTTCTCCCATTTCAGGGGAAAATAAGGGAATAAACCATGACCATTCAAAAACATTATTGGGTTTCTCAAGATAGAAAGCTTAATGCAAATGGGTGAAGTGTCCCTTTAAGGCACACCTAGCAACACATGAGTGTAAAATGACCAGCTTATGACTTTATTTCAATCAAGTGAATAGCAGTTCACTAATCACATCTCCTCACAGTAAAATCGCACAAGGCCAGATTCCTGAAATCTGAATCTTTACCCAGAGCCATCTGTATATGTTTAGCTTGTGTATCTGTTTGTTTTCTCACTGCTCTACAGAGACCTGAGCAGAAACCGGATCAAGTTCATCCACAGAGATGCTTTCCTTTCTCTCAGCGCTCTCACCAACCTGTGAGTGTTTAGTCAAAGTGTATGCTCTCATAATTATTCACATTCATTGTATTTCATTAGAAAATGCTGGGAAATTGAAAATATAATTGTCTTGATTTAATTTATCATACATTGCTCTTTAATTATATATTAAAAGTGCTTTGATGCAGTTTGTGCCTCTGATTAAACAACAAAGCCATACGGGCTTTGGACAGCCCGCAGTCGCTTGTGTGTGTGTGTGTACATGAATATAATTGCCGTTTTTCCATCATGCCATTAGGGATCTCAGTCTGAACTCCCTAGCCAGTGTTCCTACCGCAGGACTGAGTGCACTGAACCAGCTTAAACTGACTGGAAATGTGGAACTGAGGAACGGTCTAATGTCTAAAAGTCTGCCTAAACTCAGGTAGAGCTCTTCACAGCCTTACTCATGAGCCTGTGACTGATTATAGGTCATTAAGGTTGCTCCTGTGTCCCAGTTCAGTTTATATGAATAATGATGTGACGTCCTTACCTTCACCCGTTCTCTGTAATCACACTCAGAGTGTACTCAAGAAATCAGAGACCTTGAGCCTTTCTTTGATCAAAACCCAGATAATTAAGTAACTCTTCATGTCTTCCTAAACAGTTTGTCTCTCTCTCTCTCTCTCTCTCTCACTCGCTCACTCCATCTCTGTCTTTGTCCCCAAAGGTCCATTACGGTTCCCTATGCCTACCAGTGTTGTGCTTTTGTGACTTGTGACAGTGCAGTTAACCCAGCTGAGGATGACGAGCGGAGAAATGCATTTGGTATGACTTTTGGGCATATAGTATAATGCTGTTAAGCTCAGCAGCTTCTGGTGTATGAGGCCACATGTGATTGAATGGGATGGTCTGGCTGTGTTTATGTGTGGTATTATGTTTCTCATAGTTGACATGCTTATAAATGTATTTTTTAGGTGGTGAGGAGGAGATGGAAAGGATTCCTCTACTCATGCACTGCTCACCCTCACCGGGTAAATACAAAGAAGTCTCTTTTTCTCTCCTTTTGCTACAGCCAGAGAACTCTTGGTAATCTAATGTTACAAGACACTCACAGAATTAGTATCACCATAACACATATTTACTATGGGATGCACAAAACATCTGTACCATATTGGCCGTTTTGTTTTATTTTTAATAAAAAAATAGATAAAAATTCTGTGCATCCTGATTATGTACTGTACACTAACGTTCAAAAGTTTGGGGTCAGAGTAAGGAGCTCCAAATCACCATATTTGAATGATTTCTGACGAATCATGTGACAGTGAAGAAGACTGGAGTAATGATGCTGAAAATTCAGCTTTGCCATCACAGGGATAAATTACATTTTAAGAAAAAAAAAAAAGTCATTGTAGATTGTAATAATATTTCACAATATTACATTTTTTTACTGTATTTTTGATCAAATAAATGCTGGATCTTTAATCTTTTTTTTTAACATAAAATATTGAGTTAGCCTCTTATGCACTTTTATGCATTTCCATCTTTCAGGGGCATTTAAACCTTGTGAACACTTGTTGGGAAGCTGGATGATCCGATTGACCGTGTGGTTCATCTGCCTGGTGGCGCTCCTCTTCAACTGCCTGGTGCTTGCAGCCACCTTCTCCCCGCGCACCTCTCCTCTCTCCCCGTCCCGACTCCTGGTGGCTCTCCTGGCCTCCGCTAACCTGCTGACAGGGGTCTACGTGGCAGCACTGACACTCCTGGACGCTGTCACCTGGGGCTCGTTTGCAGAGTATGGCGTGTGGTGGGAAACAGGTGCCGGATGTCAGGTGGTGGGCTTCCTCGCTGTGTTTTCCTCCGAGTGGGCTGTCCTGCTGCTGGCGTTAGCTGCGGTGGAGCGTTGCTTTGCTGTGAGGGCTCTGATGGGGAAGGCGGGAGCTCTGAGGTCCAGTAGCGAAAGGAGGGAACGACGAAGAAGGTTTGGTATCGCTGCACTCCTGTTGGGATTGGTATCTATTGCGGCGGCCTGCCTCAGTCTGTATCATGAATCAGCCATGGGCTCTCCTCTCTGCCTGCCCTTCTCTGGAGGTCCCGGACCAGGTCTGGGGTTCACAGTGGCCCTGGTGCTATTGAACACACTAGCGTACCTGCTGAGCGCTGTTGTCTATATGCGGTTATACTGCAGACTGGGTCGTGCCCAGTTGGCTGACCCCGAGCAGGCCGGGTCTGTGAGGCATATTGCCTGGCTCATCTTCACCAACTGCATCTTCTTCTGTCCTGTGGCGGCTTTCTCATTCGCTCCCCTGCTGGCCGGGACCAGTAATGCAGTGGGCGGACCGGAGATGGCCAAATCCGTGACGCTCATATTCTTTCCCCTCTCTGCCTGCTTGAACCCTGTGCTGTACGTGTGCTTCAGTCCCTCCTTCAGATATGACTGGTTTCGGCTTAGAGGACGGGGAAGGGCCGGAGGTTGCGGCGGGCTGGTTGGTAAAGCGGTCGCTAAAGGGACGGTAGCAGGAGGCTCGGCGCTATCTGACGACGGCGAAGGCTTGTCTAGCGATTGCGGAATGTACACAAAGTTGCACAGCAACACTCGGGGAATGTGCGAACACTGTGACGCCGCCCTCCACATCAGGACATCTTCCTCTTCTGCTTCCTCCTCTTCCTCAGCCTGCAGACATTTAGTGAAGTCCCACAGCTGCCCTGCCCTGATGGCGAACGCATCTCAGTGCCTGAGCTCAGAGGGGTACTGGCCCAACACCGGGACACTTTCCGCCCAGTCAGAATATGGAGACGAGGGCGATTCGTTTGTGTCAGACAGTTCGGAGCAGATTCAGGCTTGCGGCCGAGCTTGTTTCTGTCAGAGCCGCGGCCTCCCTTTAGTACACTACTCTTATAACGTCCCCCGCATGACAGACTGAGCTCACAGCCCCGAGCACTCACACACTCACTTCCTCACAGAGTCCTCCAGGGTGTGGAGTGTCCCTGCTCCGCAAGGACAGAGAACAGGGAGGGGCTGGACACATGGCTGCAGAGCCATTGAGACAAACAGACCGGAAGCACTTTTCACACTTGTGTGCGTGTGTGTGTGTGTGTGTGTGTGTTTGAGTGAATATAGACCAAATCCATAAAAAGGGAATCTGACAATACAGAAAGACTCTCTGAGCCAAATGTTGTCAGCAAACAACATGTCTTGTTTTCTGTTTCCTGTCCACCTCAGCCAAATTCAGTTGCATTGGCACCCAGGGGTGATTGACAGTAGGATGGACACAGTAATCGTATCTCCCAGTGCCTGCCTTTCAGATTGCAAGAGTAGGACTTGTCTGTTTATTTTCTTGGGGCATTTTTAGAAGAGAAAAATATATTTTCCCTTTTATTCTTTCAAACGTTTGTCCTTTCGATTTAAAGCAGGGATATATGTGCCATTGTTGATTGTCTTTTTTCTTATTCCTTGTTGTCATCATAAAGCCTGACTGAGTTCCAGTTTGCCGATGAGAATGTAATGTTCATACTGTTTTGTGGTCATGCCCTCTCATTTCTGAGTAAGTTCAAGTTGGCCGTTATGTTGAAAAGCATTCATTCCTTGCCTGTTTTTTTTCTGAAAGTGATCCTAAAATCACAGTACTGCCAGTACTCTATTAACTGTTTTTGAAAAGAAATCATATTGAATTTGTTATACAATTACCTTTGGATGTCTTGACCAGAGCGCTTCCTTAATCACTAGTAAGTTTCTAATAATTTATTTTAAGACATGGAAGTGGTTTGATGAATGAATGGCAAACTACACTTTTTTTTTTATTATTCTGCTATTAAGTCTCTAGATCATTTTGATATGTATTTTGTACACTGGTAGTGAAAAAAATGGGTTTCACGTTAGTCATGTTATGGTTGATAAACTATAAATATATTATTATTTATACTATTATGTCTAAAAATAAATTAAAAATAATTCTCTAAAAGTGAAAATATATTTTTTTACATTCTACAACTGAATTTAAGCATCACGGCATAACATAAAAGTTTAAGATTTTATTAAGATTACATTTAACAGTGTTATTAAATTATTAGTTTTTAAAGATCAACTTTAATTGAGAATTTGATGACTGCAAACATAATCTAAATGTTAAAATATGAAATAAGCATGCAAAATTAAATTTTCTATATTGTTAAATCCCAATAAAATAAAAATCGTATCTTATAAATCAAAAATCTTATAAACGAAAATATCTTGATCTTGAATATTGTGCATCCCTACACAATAGCTGATGTTACATGCTTTTACCAAGGTCTTTAATATTCATAGCCTGTCCTTATGAAAACCCTTTTTTTCCTCTACACTTAAAGGGATACTCCACTTTTTTTGGAAATAGGCTCATTTTACAACTCCCCCAGAGTTAAACTGTTGAGTTTTTACCGTTTTTGAATCTATTCAGCCGATCTCCGGTTCTGGCGGTACCACTTTTAGCATAGCTTAGCATACATCATTGGAGTTGACAAGACCATTAGCATTTCTCAAAAAAAAAATGACCAAAGAGTTTTGATATTTTTCCTATTTAAAACTTGACTCTTCTGTAGTTACATCGTGCACTAAGACCGACGGAAAATGAAAAGTTGCGATTTTCTAGGCTGGTATGGCTAGGAACTATACTCTCATTCCTGCGTAATAATCAAGAAACTTTAATGCCGTACCATGAGAGCAGCAGGCGTAATGATATGACGCAGCGCCTGAAAATAGGCCACCTTCCGTCAACACAACGGAACTATTTTCAGGCGCTGCGTCATATCATTACGCCTGCTGCTCTCATGGTACGGCATTGAAGTTTCTTGATTATTACGCAGGAATGAGAGTATAGTTCCTAGCCATACCAGCCTAGAAAATCGCAACTTTACATTTTCCGTCGGTCTTAGTGCACGATGTAACTACAGAAGAGTCAAGTTTTAAATAGGAAAAATATCAAAACTCTTTGGTCATTTTTCTTTAGAAATGCTAATGGTCTTGTCCACTTCAATGATGTATGCTAAGCTATGCTAAAAGTGGTACCGCCAGAACCGGAGATCGGCTGAATGGATTCAAAAACGGTAAAACGCAACAGTTTAACTCTGGGGGAGTTGTAAAATGAGCCTATTTCCAAAAAAAGTGGAGTATCCCTTTAACATCCATACAGTAGCATCCGTGTAATCAGCTGTATAATATATTGATGTTGATGTTGCCATTAAGCTATGTCATGTGGGATGGACAAGGGGACCAAAGTATGTCTTTGTGTTCAGGAATATAGAACATTTCATCATCATGATTCTACTTGTATACCTTTGTCCATGTATGTTCAGGAATTCAAGTGAAAGGAAATGTGTTTGTTTGCCTTAGATACCGAATGTCAACACCTTCCTTTGGTCTTCTAATATGTTTGCAAAGTGGATGCCATTTTGCCAGTCATATAAGCTCTGGCATCAACTGACAAGCCTTGCAGGTCGTAGCTACTAGAACTGACTTAATTCCAAAGTGTGTGTGTGTAAGAGAGGTTTAGAGATGTCAGTATGTTGTAAATTATTTTTGTAGGACACATCTAATCAAAAATGGGATGCATTGTCTAACTGTGGAAGCTACCTCTTCAACCGTAGTGGCTACCAGTAGTGAGTAGTACATGTGGTTACGTTTTCATGTTTATTTTGTTGGTATGATTGCTTGCGCTGTAAATACATCTAGTTGTGTGTTCTCACTGAACGAGTCGTGCGTTAGTTTGTACTGGGAGAAAATGACATACTGTATACAGACATTTTTGTAAACCAAACTATATAAACTGATTCGCTTTAAAGATGGGAGTGCTTGTCCTTTGTTATTAAATTTCTCTCTTGATGGTTTAGTCCTCTTTTAGTTGATGAGTTACACATGTTGTGTCATGCTCTTTTTATTCCGAGCTGAAATCCAAGGTCCTGACACTGCTCATTTAAATAGCAGTAGTTTCATTGATAGATTTAAAGTTTTAACTGTGCAATACTATGGCTGTCATCCTAAATTGGCTTTTTATAATACTGACTGCAGCTCCTAAAACGTCACCTTCGTGTCATAACAATGAACATTAGCGCTTCAATGCTTTTCATCCAAAAATAGTAGCCATCCTCAATATTAAAATGTTTCATGTGGTTAATGCAATAATTATCCTTTAACCTGTAATAGCGTTTAAATACCTGTCATGATTATTTATTCAATTAATGGAGCATTACTTTGTTTTTAGAAAGAGGAGAGTGTCTACAAAACAATCGTCTGTTAAGCCCATGGGAATTGTATGTTGCCTAAAAGAAAAGAAAAACATCAGAGCCGGTGCTGTGGAAAACGGCTCCGCCAATCAAGCAGCCGGGTCGGGGATTGTGGAACCACCAGACACTGCCAGAAGGGATAGGGAGGGATTCTTAATAAAGGGAATAGTCAATTCTGCTTTTTTCTGCTTCTAATTTTCGTCTTATCAGACTCCCGATGCTTAACTGCAGGGGCGGAATAAGAACATTTGAAGTAGATCCCCTGGAGCTCGTCGAGTTGCTAAAACATCTCAGTGGGAATCTTTCCTAAGGTGCCCGTAATTGAACCAAGCGCTTAAGCGTGAATGCTTTCTGCAATATTACAGTCACGCTGGTTAACGCTTGAAAAACTGCCATCTTACGAATTTTTAGTAGCTTACAGATCTTTGCACACTAAACATCCATGATTGAAGATTCTGATCTTACCTGACTTACGGGCTGCGGTTTGGTGTTTGAGGAGATCTATAGTTTTTTGCAGACCTCACTGTGTTGAATGGATAGCTTTGATTAGGCAGGGGTGAGAAGTAGTAGCCTGCCAGGATTTGTTATTACCTTAATGTTCCTGGTGATAGACTAAAACCATCCAGGCTGAGAAAAAGACTCATTACTAAGACTAATATCACAGTCAGTACTAAATATACGGCTTGTGACAGGCAATTCAACATGTAATTAGTGATTCTGACAGGAAGGAGGCCTCATATGCTCCAGTTCTTACCAGTCCAGCAGATGTTGTGGCTTGTAGGCGCCTCTAGATGGCAGTGCTGTTCAGCTAGTTTACAGATCAACACTTTCTCATTTTCTGTGCTACTTCAGCTTTACATTAAATGGGAGATTTTCCACAGCCGCTGAGAGCCTCTGATCTTTCCAAATGTCCTCCTGTAACCTTCATATGTACGTGTACAATGCACATGGACCTGCTTAGCCACTACTAGCAGAGAAACCACCTGCTAGAGGTAGGATAATAAAGTAAGCGCCCACTTACGTATTAATGTTAGGCCTAATAAAAAATTGCATACATTTAAAAACTCAGAATGTCTTTACTTCAAGAGTCATGTAAATATGATCCAGATTTATGGCCTACGTATTGTTGTTGTCTCCGGTAGGCCTATTTATTTTACTAGTTCCGATATCTGGTAGGCTACTGCTGAAATCTACCATACAAAGATGTAGGCCTATGACATTGCCATTTTATAAAGTATTTAGTCTCCAAGAGAGTTGCTATGGTGATACTGTGAACTGGAAAAGCTAATAGCTTTACCTGATTTTTTTTTATCCATTTTTAATTTACATATTTCAAAATTACAGTAGCTACTTGCTGTACTCAATTATTTAGTGTTCGTACTCATTTGATTGAGATTATAATGCAGAATAGTTATCTTCGATCAGGTCTGTGACAGATATTTCCATAAATGAACTTTAAATGTCATATAAAACTGTATCATCTTGCCATTAAGGATTAATCTAGTACCCTGACGCGACAGCAACAATCAATCATGAAAACGATGATCGTTGTGACTAAAAATATATTTCTTTTCTTTTTTTCTGATTGGTTACTGCGGCTTTTAGGGCGGTACTAGAGGTCTGATTGGTTAACATAAGGACAGCATGCCGTCCAGACTTGCGAAATAAAGTGAAACTATGGATTTGAAAGCGTGCAGTGATGCCTCATGCCTGGCCTGGAAGCACTTTGAAACTACAAGTGCAAGATGTGCAGTGCCAATCTGCCATATACTTAACATTATAATGAGAACAACATTTTAATAGAACGTTGTAAATTCTTTATGCTTTAGTCGCCCGTGTTTCAGCATTTGTTGTTAGCGCATCCACAACGTAGGCTACGGGAGTTACACATTCAGACAAACATCAAGTTCACGTGCGCATTAGCGTCCTTTTCTCCAAATGCAAGTTGTAATATTACTTTTATTTTGGCTATATCTGATTAATCTCATATAGGATGTGTTTGGTTATTATTGATGTTCTAGCAGTGTTATTTTTCTAGTCATGTTTTTATGATAGACATATTTTATGACATTTTTATTTCGTCAACATTCATTTTCGTATACATGTTTTAATTAAAGTCTTTTGGTTTTATTATCTCCGTGCCAGAAACGAAATGAAAAATTGACAAAAATGACCATCCCTACTTGCCACGTACACTGGAAAGCTTGAATCATTAAGAAAGTATGGAGAAAGGCCCAAGCAGAGCCGTCAGTGCTGCAATTTAGTGAGCTAGAAATCTCCAAGTCTTTAAATTATGCTTTC